AAGCCCCTAGATAGTGTTTGTCAAATCATAGCCTAGCAACCATAGCTCATAACTAGCAAGGCAGGTCTGGCAAGCTTTGGATTCCTCTACATGCTGAATTTGTGTTGAGCTGCAGTTAAAGCAGTACTCAACCTTTTATGAGTTTGTAGGGTTATGTGGTTTAGTAGCCCTCCCAAAATCCAAAAGCAAAGTATAAGGAATGGATTAAACAAAGTGTCATTTAGCATTAGCTAATCAGGCTTAGCTAACTAGGTCTACTATTGCTAGAAAAAATGATTGCTTCCTGGGCTCACAAAAATAAATAAAAGTAAGTTACTAACACAGTTTGTGGAGTTAAGTTTGAAAACTAAACAGATTTATGTTGGAATGTCTCACTTCTCATCTTTACGTTTTGTTCTTGAAATACTAGCATTTTCTACACGGATCATCATCGGGTTAGGATGAGTACTTTTGGCCTGGTACATTGAGCGTAGCCCAGTTTTTCAAAAGTAAAATATCAATATAGCCATTGTGCATGTTCAAAAACACCTTTACAGGTTTCTTATTTTAATATAAGTCAGCTGGGGACAGCACTTTAACCAACTAATGATGGTAACGTTAACTTAATTAGCTTTGCATCAACAGCTGATCAAATCCGCCATTTTAGCCGCCATTGATGAGTGACAGCTAGAAACGAGAAGCTTTTTCTAAAATCAAGGGGCTATTGTTTCAAATTAACCAATAATTGCATTGTTAATTTTACATTGACATTAAAGTAAATTGCATACACAGCATGAGAGTATGGAAAGCTTGACAGGCCTTGTAACAGTAACTTAGGGAAATGGGCGAATGGTCAATTAGTGCAGCAGTGAGCTAAAAAGTATTGTGCCTGGCTGGTACTCAACAAAAAATAATATGTAAGATCAACAGCAGGCATACAAATGATTTAGCTTCCAGATTTGGCTCACTTTCCAAACATTTAAACATCCAATTGCATTCAATCTAAAGTCGCCTTCAGTCTTCATTCTTCAGAAAAAAATGCAAACGTCACAAGCATTAGCTGCACATTGACACGCAGAGGCTCATGCGATACGTTGGACTCGATCAGAGAATGCAAAGCCTTGATAATGCAGAGACTGGCTGATTTGGACAAAGGGTGGGGAGTTTCGAGTAGTTGTATTCGAGAGAACGCAGCTGCTTTTATCAGGGTAAGATGGCATTAAAGGGAGTTGAGTGGAGGAAGAAAGAGAGGGGAATAGGGGAAATCAGAGAGAAATTACAGGGGTAGAGAAAGGATAAGAGAGAAGGCTTTACAGGAAGAAAGAAAGGGTTGAAATAGAGAGGGGTAGCAGAAAGTGAGGAGAGAGGGTGGGAGGGAGGCGAATTGAAGGCAGAGAGCTAATCCTGCCATGATATCTTTAATCCTGCATTAGAGGGTTTGTCTGAAACTTCAATACTCTGTCAACTCACTGTGAAAGAAACCCGCTGAGAGAGAGGTCGGGGAAGAAAGAGACACAGAGAAAAGAACGGAAGGATGTGAAAGAGAAAAAGAAAGGACGAAGGAAAGAGGAAATAGAGACAGGGCAACTACAGTAGATGGAGAGGAGAGAGCAATAATGGGACAAAGGCAGGAGAGGTGCAGAGTAAGACAGGAGGAAACCAGTGAGCTTCATCTTTATTTTTTAAGTTCAGACATACTCTTTAAGGATTTAAAATAGCTTTGATTGTAAAGCTGGGCTCTAAGCAGCCTGCACAGAGAGGCTTCCCAGCAGTGGATTAAGACACGGATGATTTTCTAGGGTTTCAAATCAAATCAAATTGACCGTTACTTTGCTTTTTACGGAGGGATCTGGGGAACAAGGGGAGTAATTTCTCAAGAACACCACTCCTTAAAAGAGCTAAAAAAGTGTGGCTTTCGAGGAACATTGGTTACTAGAGTTTCTGAATCGCGGAATTACTACCTTTCTCCTTCAAGGTCTGACACTTCACACACTGAATCTGTCCTTTTCTGAATGGTATACTTCAAAACATGGATCTATAACTACTCTGTGTAGTCCAACTGAAGGCAGAATTTGCTTCTTTTCTCCATTTGTGTGTAGCATGATTGCTCAATGTGCCGCCAGTCTTTTTCTTTCAAGAAGCCAAATGCCTCCTTGGTTGCCATAGATACAAAGAAACCCAACAGTGTGGCACACTGGTCCCCGTCATACCATAATGAGACTGCCATTGTTGTGAAATGAGGATCATGATATCAGGCTATAATTAAATATTTCATTTAGAATCTGGTCTCCAGTCCTCCTGAAGGTTCTCCCTTAATGCGATTTTGGGTCAATTGATTTATTTTATTAAATATAATTGTATTCGTTTTTCTCCACTGGGCACATGTCATTTCATAGACGAAGATTATAGGAGGATTATAAGAAAATACAATTACAACCTTGCCCTGATCCTTGATCACTTTTTTCCTCCTCACATTTGGATTAAGTCAGTCTTTAAATTAAGTGAATTTAAATAATTGTTCAATTAATTTCTCTTTGTATGCCTTTATCACTTAAAATCCAGTTTCAACCCCCTTTCATCTATAGTAATGTTGGTAAAAAAACACAGAAACCCTGCTTGTCGAAAGCCACAACTCAAACACTAACTCTAATTATCCACATCAAATATCAAAACCAAGGCACTTCTATATAAATCCTCTTATATAGGAAGTATTAGTTCTAGATCAACTTTTTAGCAGGCGTCTCGCAGGAGACATGTAATCCTTAAGTCCGGGGCTCAGTCTCATAAAAACACACGTATGCAAGAACTGACACTGTTGTCATGCTGCGAGTCATATGATACCCGCAGAGAATTCAATAATCTGAGGAACTCGCGAGCATTAGGTCAAATACTTCAGGCTTTTGCTATTTTAGGGAATGGTATTTTAGACGTTATTAAATTGTATTGTGGTGAACAAAACTAAGTGCTGCTTAAGTATCCCACAGTATTCAAAGAATGTTTTTGATCTATTCACACACACACACACACACACACACACACACACACACACACACACACACACACACACACACACACACACACACACACACACACACACTCACACACACGCACTGAAATGACTGAATAGAGCACACAGGATCTGTATTATGGACCTAAATCAACCAAATGTTGTTGATTGTTGTGCTTTAGCCCCCAGCTTCAAAACAAAAGTCTGTCCCAGAGAGTGATCAAAAGGAGTAAATAAATAGATTTGATCTTAACCATGACAAGTCTTGATATAGTGCTCAGATTGGGCAAATACATACTTTTTTTTTGTATGTCGTCCAACTTTGTTATCATTCCGTGTCACTAAAGCTGCGTTCACACTGGACGCGATGCGAATATTCGCTTCGCTCTAATCGCTCCTATCGCATCGCTCTAAACGCTCCAGTTTCACTGCGGCTTTCAGCTGTGTTTACTCGCATCATTCAAACAGACGCGACTGGCTC